GTTTGTTTAAAAAAAGTAAAATTAGCTATCGATTCGATTCGTTTCTAATTCGACTTCCTTTTATAGAACTAAAATAAAATAGTTGAATATTTATAAATATTCTAGCTATTGTATTCATTTCAATTCGATTTAGAATATTAGTTGAATAAAATTTATTCATTTGTTTAAAAAAAGTAAAATTAGCTATCAATTCGATTCGTTTCTAATTCGACTTCATTTATAATAATATCAATAAAATAAAATATGTCTCGATGGTCGAATTGGTTGAGACGCTCGCCTAGCGTGTAGGAAAGTCCAGGTTGAAACCCTGGCTGAGGTAATATTTTTCGCAATAAATCTTCTGTATTATTAAAATTGCCAGATACGGTCAATAAAAAAAATCACTGATAAAATAAAATAGTTGACAGACTAAATATTATTCTCGGATATAATACTAATATTTGAAATACTTCCCCCCCCCCCCAATTCGTTTCAAACGATTTTAATAAACAAATACTGGGTCCATTTTGCTGGCAACAAGATCCCAAGTCCTTCAGCGACGAAACCCGTGCGAATTGTTCTCATAATTGCGACGTCGTAGCTTCGACGAGTTCCCGATGCTTTTTGCATTTCTAAAAGAGAGTGCAAATTGAAGACTCACCTTCGGCTTATCCCGCTTTCTCCTGATGATAAGGCCGTCGTTCTCTATGTAATCCGGCACGTCCTTTCGGTTGCTGAAGTTGAACACCATCGTGTTGTTCTGCTGATTCCACGGTTTCGTGTCCCAGAGACCGCCGCCACCACCGCCGCCGCCGCCGCCGCCACCACCGCCGCCGCCACCGCCTCCAGCGCTTGTCTTCTTCGCGGGTTGTATCTCGTCGGCACTCTTCAGGCTCACTACCACCTTGGTCGGCTGCTCGATGCTCTTGACCCGATTGATCAGATTCTTCTCGAGCTCACGATTGCTCAGACTCTGCTGCGGATGCTGCGTCTTCGTGCAGACGAGCGGCCGGATGATGCCGATCTGCTTCTGCGGCGGCGAGAACTCGCTCTTCTGCTGGCACCGTATAGTCTTGGTCTCGTTGTTGCTCTGCGAGTACGTCGCCGCCGCCGCCGCTGCCGACGACGCCGTCGTCACGGTGGTCGTCGCGGTCCTGATCAAGCCCAGGCTGCAGATGGCGCCAATGGGTTTACTCTCCGGCACGATCAGCTGCCTTTCCTCGATGTCCTTGCCGTCGCTCTCCTCCTCAGGCTCGAGCTTCTCCTGCAACCTCGACGATATCTCGCAGGCCACAACGCCGGCAGGTGCGCTCACCTTGCTCCCGCATTCCGTCTTGGCGCAACGGTCCTCCTCCGGCACGGGCTCGTCCGCCGATTTCTGCCCGTTCTGCTTCGCGCCCGGCAAGTAACTCTTGTCGCACGCGGACCGGTCGCCGAAGTCGAACTGCATCGTCGTGCCCGCCTTGCCGATGTTGTCCAGGGCGGTCTTGGAGATGGTCCTCGGCCCGTCCACGATCTCCTCGTCGACGCTCTTCTCCCCGTCGAGCGCGACGCGGCCCGACCTTGCATCGGCATCGTCCTCCTCCTCCTCCTCCTCGGAGACGCGAGCCTGCCGGGCACCCTCGGCGCTCGCCCTCGGGACGATCTCCTTCTCGATCTGCAAACGAAGAAGCTTGGACTCCGGCTCCGTTCTCGCAGAGGATTCCCCCTTGACGGGGCTCGGCGGGAGCGGCGGTTTGTGAAGCGGACTCGGGATCTGTACGCGGATCAGGTCCTTGACGGGGGACGAGGGGCTCAGCGTGCCCGGGCGAACGGGCGAGGACGGGCTCTGCAGCCTCGGCGACAGGATCCTCGGCGAGAGCACCGGCGTGACCGGCGGCGACTTGATGGCGATCTCCAGAGCGGCGGACTTGGGCTTGCACGTCTGCGGCGGCTCCGGGCTGTTGGCCGGCGAGAACTTGAGCTTGTAGCTCGATGGCTCCGGCGACGGGGAGGACGAGTGCGACTTCTCGATCTGCTGGAACTTGCTGACCACCGAGGACACCGACTGCGCGATCGGCTCCGTGATGACGCCGTCTATGTGATACTCCTCCTTGCCGTCCTGCGTCTCGATCAGCTCCGCGGTCGGCTTGCGCGGCAGCGCGATCTTCTTCGGGGAGACGACGACGACGCCTGTGCGGGCGCCGCCGTTGACGAAGGGTTTCGGCTGCAACGGCGGCTTCTGCGCGAGCTTCTTCTGCGCCTTGAACGTGTCGTTGATGGTCTTGAAGGTGGCGACCTTGGCGGCGACCTCGCCCTTGGGCTTCAGCTTCCTCGCCGAGCTCTCGAAGATCCTCATCGTGGTCTTGACTAGATCCGGCGGCGGCCGCTCCGTCTCCGCCAGCACCGGCTTGATCCTCTTGGGCTTGTTGATCGGCTTGGGCCGGTCGAGCTCGCTCAGCCGGCTCTCGATCTTCACGGACGTACGGTCCACGAGTATGATGTGGTCGTTGACCGGCTCCTGGCGAACGCCGTTCGTCACCGGCCGGGCGACCGGAACCTGGCGCGCGCTCGTCGCCTCGTCCGCCGTCACGCTGTTGTACCTCATCAAGGTCTCGACGCTGCGCGCCCGTTTCATCGAGTCGTTGCCCCTGGAGGCGTTTCGGTACCTGTCGGTCTTTGGAGCGGCGACGGTGCCGCTGCTGCCGCCGCCGCCGCCGCCGCCACCGCCGCTCCGCCTCGTGTACTTCCTGCCGGCAGTGGTCTTCTCGTGACTGGACGCCTCGTCGTCGTCTCGGTCCAAGAGATCCTCGAGGCTGGCCGCGCGCCGGAACCGCTGCACCGACGCGCGGCTCTTGTTCGTCTCGCGCAGAGTGAGGTTAAGGTACTTGCACCTGAGCTTGTTGACGATCCCCGGGCCGTACTGCAGCTCCTCGGAGCTGTCGCTCTCCGCGTCCTCGTTGGAGGCGCGACTCGGTGGCGCGACGCGCGACAGCGGGCCCCCCGGCGCCCTCGAATCGAACGATGTCTCCCTTGCGCGTCTGCCGGCCGGGGCGGCCGGCCGCGTCTCGCCGCCCTCGCTCATCCTCGCGGTCGCTCGCGCCTCCTCGCTCTCCTCGCCCAAGTACTCCGGCAGCTTCCGCTCCGACGGGACGTCCGCGAATTTAGCCGTCGCCGCGCCGTTCACAACATCCTCCGCGTCCGAGCAGAGCGACAGGTCCACCTCGAGGCGCATGTTGTACGCGACTGGCGACGCGAAATCGGCGGCCGTTGCCGCCACCGGCGGCGAAGCGGAGGTGGCGCCACCGGACGGCGGCCTTCTCGCGTGGTACGAGGAGGGGGAGGGGAGCGACGCGCCGCCGCCGCCGCCGCCGCCACCACCAACCCCGCAAGCCGCGGCGGCGGTCGACGCGGTGTTGTTCCCGCCGCTCGGCGCCGAGCGTGTCGCGCGGAGCCCGCTCTGTTCGCTGGCGGCGCCGTCGGGCGCCGATGTTACCGACGACGACGACGTGCCTATCATCGCGCTGCACAGCTTGACGCTCGCGCCGTTGTTCGCCAAGACCTTGCTCTGCTGACGGCGACGCTGTATCAGGTCGCGCTTCCATTGCGGCACGTTGCCGCCGCCGCTGCCGCCGCCGCTGCTGTTACCGCTCGCCTCGTTGCCGGCGGTAGCCATGTTGGACGCGCGCCGTTGGTAGCTTTCTCTCTCTTGCTCTCTCCGTCTCGGTCCCGCGACTTGCTCGCGGCGCGACACCGCGACGTGCGTGCGTGCGTGCGTGCGTGCGTGCGTCGGTAACGCACGTCGCTCTTCACGCGCTCCCTCCGACCGCGCGGTCGCGCGTCCCCCGCATGCTCTCGCACTCGGCGATCCTTACCGGCGACGGGGTCCGCGCACCGGCCGCGCAAAATCGATGACCGCCGAGCATACGGTTCGAGCACGCGCGCCAACGCACCGTTTCGCGAGGGTGAGAGGTGGACGGGGGGCGGCGGCGACGTTCGCTGCTCCGTCGCGCTCTCCGCGGCGGATATTTACATGCTCCCCGGGGTCTTTACTCCGGCGCCCGCCGGTCGATCGGCGGCGTGAAAAGGGCCCCGCCGTTGGCTCCTGCGCGACAATCGATCGCCTCTCTCTCTGGCCTCCCCTTCGCCCCGTTGTTGGCACACACCGCGTCTCACCGCGCTCCTGTATCACTGTCCACCTGCCGCGAGCTCACGACCCGACGGCGACGCCGACTGCCTGCACCTGTGCTGCGCGCTGTCAGACACCCGCGTCGCACACGCGCACGGCACTGCGGCGACGGTCGGCACGTCCACGTTCACGGCACGGCACGGCACGGCACCGCACGAGCGCGATAAACACGCGCCGTCGCCGTAGCGCGCGATGACTGGCGGGTCCGCCTCCTGGAGCGCGCGGCGGCCACGGGCACCGCGCGTACACAGCCGGCCCACTCGACGAAATCGAAAGTACCTTCCGCTCCGCGGGCCTCTGCCTCTGCCTCGCCGTTCTCGCGCGCGCGCGCGCGGGCGTGCGGCATGCGTGCGTGCGTGCGTGCGTGCGTGCGTGCGTCGCCTCGCCGCCGTGGTACACAGCGAAAACCCCCTCGGCCGTATAGTCGAAAGGCGAACGCGCCTGTCTCGCGCTCCCAACTGCCCCGCTACGCGCGAATCCCGCGCCGACGGAGATCGCCTCTCTCTCGCGCGGCCAACAGCCCTCCTCTCTCTTTTCACTTCCGCGCGCCCGTGTGCCGTCCGTGCGCGCCGTGCGCCGCGTGTAGTGGCGCGTAAACGCGCGCGCGCGCTCGCCGAATCACCCCTCCTTTCTTCCGCGCGCCGTCTTTCTCCCTCGCTCTCCCGCGCGCTCGTACGCTCCCCCCTTTAACGCTCTCCCGCCGCGCGCGCTCGACTCCAACTCCGTAATGTCACTCCGACAAGCGGCGAAGGCGCTCGTATCGAGCACATGACGCGCCAACGTAAAAAATCGAAGCGTAGGGCCGCCGCGGCGGCGGGGACGCGCCGCGGTTTTAAGGGTTGATCCGTTATACCGCCATTGACGGCGCGCTGCAAAGCGGATCTCGATAATCCGGGCGTTTATGAGCGCGGGATAGTGTTTGGATCGGCGAATGATCGATGGAGAGAGAGCCGTTAGATGATTTATCTTATTTCGCGAACCGGAGTGGTATTTCCGTCACGTACACGTCTCTCAATTATCGATTGACGTTCAAATCGGCGCGCGCGCGAGTAGCTTAATTAATTATTATTGAATTGTTGGATGCTGAATAATCAACGTGTCACGACGAGCGAGCATTTAAATACAAAGAACGCGCCCCCCTCCCACCAAAACGTTTCCGCAGTACGCGCGCAAACTCAGTGCACCAACAATAGAATGATTGAAGAAGAAAGCCAACGGCACACGATACTATTTTTCCTACTGGATCGCCTACGAGAGCCAGTCAAGATGCAGAGTTTTCGATCTGGTGACTCAAAGCTGAATCCTGATTGGCTCTCGTAAGGAATCCAGTAGGGAAGAATAGTATCGTGTGCCGTTGGCCTAACTTATATAAAATATTAGGGTAAACTCGGGTATTATGGCGCCACATGGAACAAAATATCTAATAAATATCCAATGGATATCTAATAGATACAGGGTGTCCCAGGAGGAAAGGTCAATATTTTGGGAGGTGATAGTATCGGTCATTTTAAGCAAAAATGTTCATATGAATGTATCTCCTATTCCCCACTGTTTCCGAGATAGAGCTACTTGAATGTCTCGCGTAGTTTTCTGTACACTTCACCCTTCATCCAATCTCATAAACGTCTGGTGACTGTTGTGCCGATAACATTGTAGAAATGTTCAAAAAGCCTCGTATATTCACAAATGTCGAACGAGCAACACGCCATGTTCGCACAAGAGTTGAAAAATGCATTGTTGTTAACGGTGGAATTTTTTAAATTTATTATGATCTGTAAAAATGTATCACTTGAACGGTAAATATTAGAAATAGTACGTAGTATTTCTGTATTGTCAGTAATTTTGCAACTGTACATTCAAATAGCTCTATCTCGGAAACAGTGGGGAATGGGACATATATTCATATGAACATTTTTGCTTAAGATAACCGATACTATCACCTCTCAGAATATTGGCCTTTTATCCTGGGACACCCTATATAAAGTGTCTGTACAACGCGGCAATCGCGTATTAGACTCTCTCGTAATTAAAAATTATCCTGCAATAATAACAATCTTACCCTATGCATGTGGAAATGTTGGGGAAGAGAAACAGAAAACAAATTTGTAAAATTAATAAGGAATTAAAATGTTTAAAAAAAATGAGTAATATGCGACGACTTGGAAATTCGCGATGTACGAAACTATAACGTGCAAGTCTTCGCGATTTGAGAAACCCAGGCCGGTATTCACACACACAGTCGCTCTTATTTCAAAATCGTCTTAAGCAATGTCTTGAGATCTAGGACGGCTCTGTGATTGATTTATACACGGAGAGAATTTACTGTTCAAATTTATCCTGAAAATCACAACCGTGGGACACCACGGCATTTCGAAGAATTTTATGGGAGTTTTTTGTAAAATGTGTGGTAAGATTGAGAAAAAAATTCTCACAAAATTTATCCTGAAAATCATGTGATTGTGGGATAATATGGCATTTTGAAGAACTTTATGTAAGTTTTTTACCAGTTTTACTATACACTTTACTAGTAAAATATGTAAAACACTCTCATAAAGTTCTTTAAAATGTCATGTTGTCCCACAATCACATGATTTTCAGGATAAATTTTTGGAGAAAATTCCGCGTGACAACTCAAGATTGTACTTAAGACGATTTTAAATACAAAAACGAGCTACAAATGCCGATTCCCTAGCCACTTCCCTTAAAACGCACCACTTTCGTGACATTTGAGTGTCGTCTGGCGCTCGTTACGAGAACCGCTAGTCGCTTCATCCTGTCCTTTTATCCCTTGAACCTGTCCCGTCACGACGGAATGACGCGCGCTTATATTTTCCGTCTTCCCCGATCTGCTCTCCGCGTCCGTCGCGAATGACGGACGTTACGCTCACGCGTGGGTGTTATTATGCCGTCCCTTCCGTAATTTACATGCGCTCTGTTCTAGACGACCCGCGAAATGGTCCGCTTCCTGTGCACTCTCAGCACTCGCAATCGCGAAGTCTAGCGTACGCTAGAACTACCGTGCGTTACACTCTGGGATACACTGATGAGATGGGAATCGCGATATATTGTTCCTCCAACACTCAATAAACGTGGACGTCAACAGTGACGTGAATTCCATGTTCTTGGGCCGTTAATGCCTTAGTAAAAAACATAATATATTAAATAGTTAATATTATTATAGTAATAAGTGAAACTAGATCCCGATACGCGAATAAAATGCAACCAACTAGAAAATATGCTGCATGTCAATTCGAGTTTCGTGCCTAATAATATATGCGTAATAATGTTACATTTTATTGTTGTAAGAAATTAATTATTTTCAAATTGTCATCGAGAAACTAACGCCCTAACGAATAGATTTAGATATTGATAGTCAGATCGTATATTCAAGACCGTCTTAAGATCATCTTTGGATACTCCATAGTCAATGGAATGTTCCATCAGCAACTTTAGATAAATTCAAAACGATCTTGAATACAAAATCTGACTACGAATACCGGCCTTAGATACAGAACATGCGCGTCAAGAAATGCAATTTCATGTTTTAAAGCAATTACGACCCCGTGCGTACAGTGATGGGCAGAATGGTTGCGACACTTTTTCTTAGTGAGTTCAGGAAGGTGCATTTAGATTCAGAGTAACGTTTCTAAATCTTCTTCTCCGAGGAATATTTTACTCGATGGCCGTTCCGAAACCATTCCGATCTATTTTTCGAGTAAAATTTCCTTCAGAGAAAATGTTCTGGAACGTAAATCGGAACCTAAATGCGCGTAAACTCATTAAAAAAGGTGTCGCAATCATTCTGTTGATCACTGTGCAAAACTTGTCGAAGGAATTCTCGTTTTATGTCTACTGGTATTTAAACGTATAATTTATCCATCTTAGCCTGACGTTACAGCTGTACGGCAAATTTTTTAAGCGTGTTGATTGGCTGCTGAATAGAAAATTTCTAGATACACTCGAGAATTTTACTGTCTTACAGCCAATCAACACACTTTACTTTGTCGTACGGCAAATGTAATACCAGCCTTACACGTGTATACCAAATCGTATCGTTACGTTATACTTAATATGTTATTGAATAAAGTTAAACTCTAATTAGTTTAATTGAAGGCGCGACACAGAAAATCCTTTCCCTATCCTCGATTTCTGCTTACATTCTGATACACGACACGCGCGTGAATTAAAACTATCGTGGAATGCTCGACGCTCGAATGTTTGAAACTCGAAAGGTATTCGATATCCTCGAAGGGAAAGTAAATCGGCGTGTAGCCTCTGTGTATCGGGATCGATGCCTTTCCATGGTCGCGTAACAACGCAATGTCGTGGACTGGAGCGTTAAACCTGCCCAGCGGACCGGACCGCTATGTTACACTTTATATTATCCATTATATTAGCAATTAAACGTTATTATTGGTTTAGAACCCTTATGAAAAAATACACTCAATCATACG